TGCACTAGGGAAGGAATAAGCCATTTGCAGATGACACATTATGATTTTAAGTTTGGTAGGCCAAAGGTCAAGGTCCAAGTGACACTGTAAAATTCTTTGTTAAATACTAAATTCAGAAGAAATATATTTAACATAGATCTAGACAAAATATAAGCCCAAGTTTGTTAAACTTGGTAGAATTATTTCCCACGGCCATTGAATAAACTATAGATAAAATCAAAAGTCAAGGTCACACTGACATTATCAATATAACTTTTATAACTTTTAAAAGATGTCATAGCTTTTTTTAAATCTGAGTCATATTATTAAGGTAACACAGTGTGAGGCTTAATTACTAATTTGATATTATAATTATTCAAATTATTCTTTGATTGTGGTAGATATATATATGACATAATTATAAAACAATAAATTTGTGACTCTGTTTTTAACCTTAAGTCTGCTGAGGGCAACAAATTGACTACTCATGCCCTCTGATTGTAATAGGTCTGTTAATTCACTGTTCACTTAATCAATTCTGAGTCAGTAAATATTATGAAATTATTCCCTAAAATTGATGAATGGTTTAGTCTATATTTAAAGATGGACAAGTCCATTTCAGATATTTAGTGTGGTAAGGTTTTAATAATAGCATGTTTCTTAGAAATCTTAATATTAAAGATTTTCCTTGATTATTTTTTACTTAATAGTAATTATACATCCTGGCACGGTTTTCACTCTCTTTACCGCAATATTTGTGGTAATTCATCATTCTAAAATATTGTTCATAAATCACTTATTTTACCACTTACTTGTACCACTTTTTCTTTTCAAGATCATATTAAAACATTTTTTTTTAAGAATATATATTGACTTCAGAAATGTGAAGGTGTTTTTAAGAAGAAGGCAATTCTCAGTGTTATTTCATTTTATGGTTTTATGTACATGTATTACTCATATAAGGTTGACTAGTGTTATATTTTATATTAACGTAAAGAACTCGTCACCTATTTTAGGACAAACGTGTTTAACCTATTATTGTGTCTAAATGTTACAAAAGCCTTGCTGTAGCCGCACATTGCCTCAGGCAACAATAAAAGATGTTTTACGTCGTGGTCGTTCGGTGTTGTTGACGTAAGACATGAATATGATAAATAAATTAATTGTTGTTTTTTTACCTTTACATATATGAAGCTAATGGTTTTGCTTATTACAAACGTATAATGTGTATTAAAATGTAATTACATACATCGTTCTGCGCAATTATGTGGATTCTGTTCTTTGTAACAAATTTATAAAGGATTAATTTGTACGAAAACCGTAAGTTTATAATTTCAGTTTTGTAAATTTACTATTACTTGTTATTTTTGTTTATCATTTATGTAAATAGTAATAATGTAATGTTCTAGAGTATAATCCTGACGATTTTATATTAATATGTCACATTTTATCATATTGGCATTAAGGTTGATGTGACAATGTTAGGTGACAGTAAACCTCGATACAAAAAGAACAATTATACTGAACAGGATTTTTTTTACGTAGATTTATTGTCGTCAGAAGTTATATTGTACCCGTGCGTACCAATAACTATCTCACTGTCTAACGATGAGTTTTTTTTCTTCAATTATTCGGTGAGCTGTGAAAATTCAGACAAGTTGTTTACAATGTAAATTCATTAAAAATGAATAAAAACCCACAACTCATATTTTAAAAGAAATAATTTCTTTATTTGAATCACGATTTTTTTTTTGTAGCGAGATTTTTTTCTTATTGTTTTCCTTATCATTTTGTAGTACTTACAATTGGATGTGAATTACCAATTATTGTATTAAGGGGAGACAACTTTACAAAATAATTACTTTTCATGAAGAGTTAGATCTGAAAAATACCGTAACTTCAGGAAGGAATTATCCAATTTGAACGGAAAAGAAATAGAATAACTTGATTCAATTTCATATGTTAAAATCTTACAGTATAGTCACTGTTATTATAAGCTTAAAATGAATTATGAACAGAACATGTAAATATGTTTCTCCTAATGCAATTTTGCATCCAGCAATAACTAAAACTTGTAAATGCTATATTGATGACATTTGTGTCGAATTAATCACTATATATAACAAATAAGTCAATTAACACAAAGAACTGTTTACAGTGGTTACAAAGTCAATAGTGTTGTTTTATAATTTCAGTATGGTAAACATGTATTAAATGTGTAAGAACTGTTTTAAATACAGTGAGAAGTTATTATTATTGTATTCAAAGATTCACTGCTTACAATGACAGTGAAAAGCCTATGATTTTTAGATTCATTATGTAAACAATAATATTATTAAACAATTAAATAATTTAGATGGTCCATGTAGTTTTAAAGGGGGACAAAAACATATACATTGTGCTCATCAGGAAATTATTGTTGACTCTTTCACTTGGTAATACTTGTAATAATACTTGTTTTAATGAGAAGTATTTGCTTAATTTTAAGATAGGGATCTAAAGTGTCTTTCACAATCATTGTGTTATTCTTTGTTCTTTCTTTGTTCGTTTTGTTGAAAAGGAAGTTGATTGGTTTAAGTATTTTGAGACAACTTTTAAAACCCATTATGATCTCAGTTAAATCTGCTGAATTAAGGGAGCAATATTAATCCTGAAAGTGGTACTGTAGTAAAATTATCTAAATAAAAGTTTTGAGAACCACCTTGTGCTTAATTGACCTGTTGTTCTCTAATCTTCCAAATTGAATTTTCAATCTATATCCAGGTTTTATCTATTTAGATTGTAAACAGGAAGAATTGTGTAAAGTGTTATGGTCACATTTGGTAAAAAGCAAATTAATATAATTGTTTCTTTTTAAAAGAACATCCTTCAAACATCCTTCAATTTTGTTTGACAAAGTTGTCCAGTGGCCAGTTTATTGCGCAGTAAGACTCTCAATTTATTTATGAAGAAATCTCATTTTTTTCTCTTAAAAAAGGAGGTTTGCAGTATTATAAATTCCTTATGAATATTCACGACAGGTTATATGGCCGTATTTAAATGGTTGTTTGCAATATAACCATGTCCAGCTAGCAGCTCTCAGATTATATTTATAAAGCCGGCCAAATAATTACCTGCCAAAAATCTTTATAACTTAAAATAATAATATGCAGTTATTTCATTGACATTGTTGTTAAGTTATTTCATTGTTTTTGCTGTTTATCATTGCATAATTATGTTTGTAGTTATTTCACTGTTTTTGCAGTATTTCACTCTGTGTGCTTTTTTTCTAATTTATTATTGCATAATGTGCACAGTTATTTGTTTTGCAGTTTATAAGTGCATATAATGTGTGCATAGATTACAGTATTGTGAAGTTTATAAGTTCATAATGTGTGCAGTGATTATATTGTGTGTGCAGTTTATACATAATGTTTTGCAGTTTTTGATTGCATATATATGAGGTGTGCAGATATTACATTGCGTGAAGATATTACATTGTGTGCAGATATTACATTGTGTGCATATATAACATTGTGTGCAGATATGACATTGGGTGTAGATAATACATACCATTGTGTGCAGATATAACATTGTTTTGCAGTTTATAATTGCATTGTAGGTGTGCAGTTATTACATTGTGTGTTTAATAAGATAATACATTTTTTTTTGTGCAGATATTACATTGTGTGCAGATATTACATTGTGTGCATATATTACATTGTGTGCAGATATTACATTGTGTGTAGATAATACACTGTGTGCACTGATATTACATTGTTTTGCAGTTTATAAATGCATACATAGGTGTGATGAAATGAAATTGTGTGCAGATATTACATTGTGTGCAGATATAACATTGTGTGCAGATATTAGTGTGCAGATATTACATTGTGTGCAGATATTACATTGTTTTGCAGTTTATAATTCGCATCTATAGGTGTGCAAATATAACATTGTGTGCAGATCTTACATTGTGTGCAGATATAACATTGTGTGCAGATATTACATTTTGTGTAGATATTACATTGTTTTGCAGTTTATAATTGCATATATAGGTGTGCAGATATTTTTTTTACATTGTCGTCCAGCTTTGAAACAAGTATTATGACAGCGGAAGTTTTACACTCCATAATATGTAAATTTTATAACACATCAAAAGACTGCAAGACAAACAAAACTGGTTTTAAACCAAGGACAGAAACATGCATTTATCTAGGACATTCGGACAAAATTTTCAAGTAGGCTGAAGAAGTGTACAGTAAATGTTATGAAACAATTAGTGACATGAAAGTAAGACTGACTTTATCACCTATACATCTAATTTAAGCCGTATGAGATATCTTGTTTCATTGTTTGAAACATTTATAACTACTTAATGAACAATAACTTTCATAAACAATTACTTTCATGTTATATCTGGGTTAATTAAGGTACTTCAGAATTAAAATTGACCCTAACATTTTATCTATTTAAAGTATGTCAATTGTTTATTAATTAGGAAAGTATTAAAATAGTTGAGTTAGGTCAAAATACTTTCATAATAAATTTAAAAAAAAAATGTTATTTATTATGAAGACAATGAAAATTTTATCTTTAAGCTAAATAACAATGTTTCTGGCTTCATAAGTCATCATTATTACGTTTGATGGGCTTTAAAGGGACTCAATTGAGGTCCTTTTGTCTTTTCACCTAATTTCTAAGTTAAAGATAAAATAAAACTCCCTAAAGATCCTGTAACTCAATTATTTTTTTTATGGTTTTATTAACTTTTATATCATAATATTGTAAGTTTAAAAAAAAACATTATAAAGATATTACCAAATTTACATTTCATTTAAATAAAGGGAGGTAATTTGAAATCTATTTTCTATAAAGTCTGAGCCAAATTTTTCAATAAGAATTGAATGCATATATTTTAATAATTACTTATAATGCAAATAAAAATTTGTAGTACATATTTAACATATTATTGGATGTCTGGAAATTGTTTTAGAAGAATAATTATATACATATATAAAATTTCACCCCATTATGCTAACCAGTCTTTCAGATGAGACTTTAAATCTAGGTCCTTTGTATGAGTGCTTAAACACTTGGCACGTTAAAGAACCAGGACCAGGAAAAGCTTCTGGAATTGGGGCATCATTCTGTATCTGCATCTTGCACTATCCTCCAAAATATAAAATCTGGAGGACTTGCCAATATGGGCAAGCGGTGGCGAGTATAAATATACTCAAATACAAACAACCTCAGAATTGCTTTTATCTTTATTTCTTAAAATCATATTATATTTTGATGTCCTGTTATAGTTAAAGTTAATCATTGGCAATATAGCGCTTGCTTTTTTGGCATCAGTAGAGGTATAATGATTTAATATTTTATATGGAGTTTGTTTACATTTTGATATACTTTCATAACAAATAACATCATAATTATTCACCTCCACTTTCTTCAGGTCATAAGCGAGGTCATAAGCGTCTTATATATTCTGAAACTATGATTTAAACACAATGAAACTCATGTTTGCCCTTTCTAAAGACGGGAAAATATATTTGCTTCTGAGGCCGAATACTCCTTTAAGTGTTAAGTGTTAAAGGACATGAATGGTGACAATAATGTCCAGGGTCTATACTCTCAGTGCCTGAAAGGGTGGATGGAACCCTCATTAAGCCTAGAAAGCATACATACTTAAGTATTAAACCTCCGTTTGAATTGTCCAAAAATAGTGACAACTAAGTATCTACTTAAAGATAACTTTTTGAACAATATGTTTTTTGATATTATCTTTAAGTGCATCGAAAGCAACCGAAAGCTGTTGTATTTGTCAACTTTCAACCTAGTTTTTATGCTCAGTGCATCATTCTATTGTTTGTTACTTAAGGGCTCTTTATCTGCCTTGTATACTTAAGCACCCACTTACTGTGATCCAAAAGAAATGTGTGAAGATACAACCAAAACCACAACAACATTACAAAACCAGCGTAGTGCGTTTGTGACCAGCATGGATCCAGACTAGCCTGCGCGTCCGCACAGTCTGATCAGGATCCATGCTGTTCACTTACCAATCCTTTTACAAGTATGAAACTGACAGCAAACAGCATGGATCCTGATAAGACTGCGCAGATCCATGCTGGTCGCAAACGCACTATGTTGGTTTTGACGTGACGTGGCTCAAATGTCTTTTGTGGTTTACATCATTTTATATATATTGTTGTATACGAAGTAGCATGTAAGCCTTTAACCAAACTGTTTTAAGATAGTGCACGCTTGTATTATGCCCCTTTTTATTGGATAATTGTGACGTTTATATAGTATTATAGTTTTTAGTACTGTGATACACATTTATTCTAGTGATTTATTATTGAAAACTTTTAACTATATGAACTATATAATTTTACTAAACACACTGTCACAATTATTTAACCTTATTCTTATTCTTATGAAATTCTAATAACAGAATATTTTATACTGCCATATGAATGCTTGTTAAAAAATTGAAGAATTTGCAGTTTGTGTTTACTTGGAAATTACTGGCTTATAAAGTGACTCACTGCATGACAATGAAATTCTACACCCCTAACCATTTGAAAGCATCCACATATTAATATATATTTATGTTACTAAATTTTTCAATATTACATCATTTTCATATATTTAACGCTAATGTTTTACTTAAATCTGTAGTGCTATGTGGAATGGAAACTTGTTACCATGCAAATTGTGACTGCTGCAGTCTGTGGAAATTACTAGCACATTATCATGGTGTTGAAATATTTTGGTTGGGTTACCTGAATCTTCAGGTTTCACAGTTCAGAAAATTATTGTAAAATAATACCCGGTCGCTCTAGTGATATAAGAATAAAAATTTAGGTAAGCTAAGCATAGTGAATTTTTGGGCAATGTTGATATTTTTCTATTTCACAGAAGAGGATGTCCATTTTCAAAGAACTTGCATGTCAATCTGTCTAAATTAATACAAAAGTTTGAAACCTAACCTAATAATACCGGTAGTTGATTCTCTAAAAAGAACAAAGATAAAGTCTGCTTATTAATGTGTTTCGTCAGCAGTTTCCCACACAAACGCAAACTGAAAAATTTTAACAATTTAATTCAGGACAACTTTATATGGAAAGAACAAAACAATTTTGGCATTTTAACATTTGGCATATATTTATGTAATCTCAAATTATGATCAATAAAATTGTACTGTACTAAAATATTTAAGATGAACTTATAGTTATTATTAATTGTTTCTAGTTCAAATTAGTGCAATTATGAAGAAGCAGTTTGACTTTCTAATGAGGTCTCCAGTCTCATTTTGGAATGAAATAGATAAAGAGTTGAGCTTGAAAATGTGATTATCATCTAATCCAAAGCAGCTAAAACAGAAAATGTTGCAGGCTATAAAAATGTTTCATTTATAAGGCAATTGTTCCCTTGGTAAAGGAAGTAAACACGTAATAGAAAGAGCATATATAGAAACACAAGGTTATATCCTATACATGTAACTTGATGTTCTTTCTCTTTTGTATCATAGGCAATTAAGAAAAAAACATGATCCCTGTTGTCGCAATATGATACCCCAGAAAAAAGTAACCAATTAAAAGAGCATTTGAATGTGACATTTCTATTGATATTTCTTTCTTAGTTGTCACAAAAAGTCATTCCCTCAAAAAAGTTAGCCAATAAATGGGCATGATGAGCTGGAGTGCGGGTGACTTATACCTGCACTTTATTTAATGAACTGTGCATTGTAACATGTATTAAATATTCCTGGGCTTATGTGAAATATAAAATATTTCTGGACATGTGAATAAAGAGCAACAACAAAATAGGTTTGTTAATTGTATTTATGTAAAATATTTTGATAATAATTATAGAATTGATACATATTTATGTATTTGGGTCTGAAAATATTTTTGGAAAATTTCTCTTCCTGTGTAAAATATTTTTCGACTTAATGTTTTAAGTTTTTCTTAGCCTACTGATTGTACCAGGCATTGAGTCTCATATTGTGCTATTTTGTGTATTGGCAATAAAAATTGTCCCCTCCTCACAGACAGGTCTGTTTCTGCTGCTGCTGTTTTGATGTAGAAGCGAGATTCTGACCTGTAGAACAAAAATGTATCCCAGAATCTAGTTTTTACACATCAAAATATTTTGACAAAAGTATTTCTTTACTTGCATAAAGTTTTTTTTGTTTTGTTTTTTGTTACCTTGGCTGGTGCAAAATATTACATTATATACTTGTAAGTTTATCTGAATAAATTTTATGAATGAAATATCTTCTTTAGAAAAAAATCGTCTTTACCTTTTAAGGTCTGATAAACAAAAGAATATTTCAGGATAGGCAAATCAGCAATTTGATCAGATACAGTTACACGCATTCTCTGGGTTTTTGAAAAAACATTAAAATATTATGTCACAAGGTTGAATACCTTGTCTATTGTTAATAGAAACTATGACAGTGAGTTATAATTAGATATTTGACCGTAATCTGCATGGTCACATGGTACATTTTATTGTTTATAAATATTTTGCCCGTGGGGGGACGTTTGCAGAGCTTTGACATCAGACACTTGAAAGGTCTGAAGATAGTGGATGATGTTTAGGCAATATTCACTGCACTGAAAGAAATTATTGCAATTATAGTTGTTTTTATTTCTGTCTGAAAAATTGCTGTGAAAGGGAAACTGGATTCTATGAATGAGATTTGTAAGTTTTAATACTACATTATTTAAATTCTATTGAAATTATTAATTTTATTTTGATCTGAATGGAGGGGTCACCCATTGCCGAGTGGTTAAGGTTGTTGACTTCAAACCGCTTGCCACTCACCTCTGTGTATCCAACAGGGAAAGGATTCTTTCATCCAGCTTGCTTACAGAACGTCAGTGATTCTACTCAGGTTCTTGTTTGTGCCTGAAATAAATTGCTTTGAAGGGCACCTTAGGTGTTCCTCATCCAGTAAAGCTGGAAAGTTGCCATATGACCTATACTGTCTGATGTATGAATCATGTTTGATTACAATATAAAAAGATAATGTTTGATGACAGTATAAAGATCATGTTAGATGACAGTATAAATAGAAAATGTTTGATGACTGTATAAAGTTCATGTTTGATGACAGTATAATTAGATCATGTTTGATGGCTGTATAAAAAGATCATGTTTGATGGCTGTATAAAAAGATCATGTTTGAAGACTGTATAAAGATCATGTTAGATGACAGTATAAAAAGATCATGTTTGACAACTGTAAAAAGATCATGTTAGATGACAGTTTAAAAATATCATGTAAGATGACTGTAAAAAGATCATATTAGATGACAGTATAAAAAGATCATGTTTCATGACTGCACCTGGGTATTTTGGTCTGGATATTTTTAGTATTTTCAGAGTTATTGCCCTTGACTTAGTAAAATTTTGCAATTTTCAACTTGTGTCGCACATAACTCAAAAAGTATTTGACCTAGAGTCATGAAACTTTACAGGAATGTTGATCAGCATGTATAGTTGTGCACCTGGGTATTTTCGTCAGGATATTTGTAGTATTTTCAGAGTTATTGCCCTTCACTTAGTAAAATTTGGCAATTTTCAACTTGTGTCGCACATAACTCAAAAAGTATTTGACCTAGAGTCATGTAACTTTACAGGAATATTGATCAGCATGTGCAGTTGTGCACCAGGTATTTTCGTCTGGATTTATTTAGTATTTTGAGAGTTATTGCCCTTCACTTAGAAATTTTTTGCAATTTTCATCTTGTGTCGCAAGTTTCTCAAAAAAGGATTTGACATAGTCAATAAACCTTATGGGCAGGTTGCTCAGCATATTTTAGATTTGCACCTGGGGTTTCCCTTGTGGATTTATCCAGTATTTGTAGTTATTTCCCTTGACTTAGTAAAGAGATTGACAGAACAGTGTTGCGGTGGGGGCACCCGTGTCCTATGGACACATTTCTAGTTGGCGTCTGTATCGCTTCAACAGCATTTTCTTTTCCTTAAAATTCAGTTTTGAGAATTGACGATGATACTATATTTAATAAACCCCACAACCTCATCATGCAAGCTAAAAACTTGGACACTGTGAGTTTTCAACTTATGAAATTTCATTAATCATGTTTATAAACAAAAAAATAAACCTTAATTTCTTTTCTCAC